ACGATATATTCGTGTATTAAACGAAGTATCTACTAATTATGACTCATATGCTATAGTTCTAGTAAAATGTATCATTACAAACCAATTCCATCCAAAGTTATTTTTTGGGTAAATACAATATATTAGCCACAACTATTATGAAAATTCAAATTATTAGCCAACTATGAAAATTCAAGTTATTTTTTTCCAGTTACCTTATTGGAAGAGGAATTTACTACGTCATAACCTTGATGTTATGCACATTGAAAAGAATATATGTGATAACATTATTGGCACTTTGCTGAATATTGAGGGAAAAACTAAAGATGGGTTGAATGCTGACGAGATTTGATGCATATGAGGATAAGGAAAAAGTTACATCCCGAAGAGAAAGATGGAAAGATTTATATACCACCAGCATGTTACAATCTTTCTTCAGCACAAAAGAAGTTATGCAGGTTTTTGAAGGTTGTGAAAGTTCCTGATGGCTTTTCTTCGAATGTGTCTAGATGTGTGAGTGTGAGAGATCACAAAATAGTTGGCAGATATTTGGCAGTCACACTCACCTCATATTTTGTTGGTTTCTCCTCAGTATTGGTACATGAGAATGCATTCTCATTGTTTTTGGAATACAAGAACTTATTTAAGTTTACTTGATTATTATGAACCTGGAGAATGTGTAGACTGATTTAGTGGTAGTTTCTATGGATTATTGTGTTCTTGAACCTCGCATTTTTTTTGTTTGGACAAATTATCTTCTATGTCAAAATTTGTTAAGAAACCCATTTTTATTTGGTTCCTTTGTAAGCTATTAATTTTTTCTCAACAAAGTTATTTAGTTATTGTTTCATAAAGAATGATTCGGTCCTCAGCAATCCCAAATTACATTAAATTCACATCTTCGGATATTTGAAACCTAACTTTGCACCATGCCCATCAATTACAAACCATTATCCTACATACTAGCAAAGCTATAAACTAACAGGAACATCGGTCTTTCTAAACTCCATTACAATGAACGAAAAGTTCAATTGAACGAAAATAGCCATAAACTATATGATTTGGGATGAATATTGAAGTAAATTAGCCAAGTTCCTCATCTATCAACTCCTAATCCAAATCCCATTGATATCAAACTTGCATTCATATAAAACCAAACAATGAAAGTAATAAGAGAAGGATACCCACAAAAAATGATGAGGGCAGAGAACTCGGAGCAACTTTTACAAGTTGACTTCCACAAACTGGCAGTGGCGATGACGCAAAAGGTCCCAACACTATAAAAAGTGTCTACTTTAATGTATGGCAACAGTGTGCATGGCCTCGGCAAGTGGTGATAGGTTGCTACAATTAGCTACCATTTATCTATCCATAGCAAACATTAATTTTTTCTAGGTTGTTTTAAGGAAATTAAAGATAATATAATTTAATTATTGCTACAGATTATGATATATAAAGCTATCATTTCATGTTGGTCACCTACGATTTAGAATTTTCGTAACTGAATATTATTAGTAGTTGCGAGATCATATTTAGAGGCTAAAAGTAATAAAATTGCCATGCATAAAAAATTTTAACACTAAAATGCAATAAGTTGGCTACGACTCATGTTGTGGCAAACAATGTAGTAGCTAAAACATTAGTTATGGCTACAATTCTTATAGAGCAAAACTAAAAATCACCATTAGCTACAAAAAATGACTTCTGTAGATATATATTCATTCTTAAATATGATTAGCTATGAAGTAATAAAACATATAGCTATTGTTGTACACTAGCCACAATTACTTGACCTGTAGCTAAGAATTCGTGTCTATCTGTATAGTTTGTTGTAGTGGAAGTACAATATAAAGAGCAAATTTTTTATTCCCCTCATGTAGTCCATTATATTCAAATTATCAGTGAAACCTTTTGAAATACGAAGTATTAACTAAGCCTCATTAGCAGTAGTAATGCTCACTTGACAACATGATGATGAGTTGGAAGAGACTCGTGGCGATCAACATTCTGAAATTATAGTATTTTAATTAAAACAAGAGTTACAAAATTATTGACAGTAATAGACAAATGACTATTATTTTTATGCTTTACAAAAATTTGGCTAGTATTTTGTATTTCAAAATGAAAAGTTTGATTAATAAATGAATTACTTGATAGAAGCATGTGACTTAGGAGGCCCTATAATTTGGAGGCCTCGTACGGTGAGGAATGCTTGCACACCCAAGATCCACCCCTGTACCTGAAGTCCTCAATATTCATACTTGTTAGTTAACAAGCTAGGTCAAGTTTTATAATTCTCATACGAGTACGGATCGGGGCAGATAAACCCTCTGCATATTAAGAAAAAACTATAACAAAATAGCATGGTAATCAACATCAAGGATTGAGCTGAACTTGTCATATTATTTTGTTTAACACAAAATTCTCAACAACCACTCAGGTGACATTAAAGAAAAACATATAATGTCGTCGACTCGAAGTCACATGCATGGTTTGTTTTGGGTCTAGTTTGTAACATTTTCCTTTGTAGGTGGAAAATTTCATAGGGAGAAACATTCTCGCTATATGGCGTATCAAGGTGTAAGTAGTTTTAAAACTTTAAGGGCGGTGGGGGCCGCTATTTGGAAATCCAAAGAATATAGGGGTCGATGACAATTCATGGTAGGCCCACTATACTATCATGCTTTATCTATATGATGACGTCATCACATAATTTTCTTCTTAGAAAACTACCATTGGAATGTGGTTTGGTGGCCAATCAACACAACGCGCTAAATTAAACAATTTGGCACAAGAGAAATTGAAGGGAAAACAAGTGGTGATTATAATATCAAGGCTAGATAATAAAATCTCAAAGTTTCATTTTCGAGCAGATTTTTCAAAAAGAAAATTGCACATTTCTATTTCAAAGAAAAGGTTGTTTTCCGATAAACTACTATTTTCTCAGGATCGATTTTGAGCATCTTCTTATCCGTTGTGAAATTCAATTGCTCCAACCGATAAACTACTATAACTTTGCTAATGTCGATTGGTGATTCGAGTCATTCTATACATGTTTTGACCCCTTTTACTAGGTTTTGACTTGTATAATATCATCCTTGGAGCCATTTTACGCTAGATTTTTTAATGTTTTAGTATGTTTCATGCTATAGCAATCAAAATGGGCGAAACTACGAAAGGATCGAAAGTCGGACAAAATGGATAAAAAACGTGACCAGGTGCTGAAAATTGCATGGATCACGGTTCAAAGGAGATTGTCACGGGCAGGAGACCATGAAGTATACAACAAAACCATGAAGTGTGCAAAATTCCAGGAGCATTCGGACGTCTAGCGGGATTGCACGGATTACTAGCTCAGGGCGCGTGAAGTGTGTAAGTGAGACAATGCTTTTTTGTTCTAAGATCATAGTTTCAATGCACACATCACGGGTGTGAAAGATGGTCGTGAAATGTGTATTGAAGGGTGTAAAAACAGAAAGAGATAAGATTTCATAGGGAGAAGAGTTTTAGAATGGGATTGGTTTATGTTTCCACATGCTAGAGAGAGAAAGCGATCAATGAAGGAAGATTGGAGAGGAATTTGACCTACCTAAGATAAAAGGAGCCCACATTTCGTCTTCCATAGCATCTCAAGCAATTAGCAAAAATGAGAATCATCTTTCCATGAGCTTTTTCTTCTTTTTAGTTGTAGTTTTTTCTCTTATGGATTAGATAATCCTTTCACTTGGATTAAGTGAACCCTAGTCTAAGATATTGTAGACTAATTATTGTGAACTCTATGTTGTGATTGGCATGTTTTAATATATATTGATTGAGTATTTATCATAAAAATTGAGTGTCCTTGATCAATTCTCTCAAATTAAGAGCAAATTCACCTAAGAGAGAAAATATCTCCTTATGGTAATTTGGGTCACTAGTCAATCATTGTAGGAGAGCCATGAACGAGCGTGATAGGTTTCTGTATGTTGTTCTAGGTCATTTCCCGAGTGAGCGGATTTGGTTGCCCTAATTTCCTAATTCGGTAGTTCGGTATGACTCTCCGATTAGAGCAATAAGATAGTTTAGGACAACTCAAATAGGGACTCCTAACTAGTTTTGATTTCCTAAAGGTATTTCTAATATGCAAATCACACTAGAGCATCAAGTAATCATGATCATCTCAACACATGACTAGAGGATAATCATCCGAGTAAAGCTCTCTGCCTCCCTCACTTGAATTCAACCTCGTTTTAGTTACTTGTCTGTTTAGTTTAATAGCTTCAAACAACATTTCTACCGTTAGATAAGTTGTAATTTGCTAAAGTAAGAGTACATAAACCGCCTGGGTTTGATAAATAATATACTCATCGGCTACTAAAAGGCATACCCTACTCTATACACACTATGCTGATTTGTCATATTAGATTCGGCTGGCCTCTGAACCCCTCTGAACCACCTTCCAGATTTGTTTTGCTGGAAAGTCTTGCGCCCCTTTGAACTCCTCCCTTGCCAAACAAATATACATGGATTTCACCGAGAACTTTGAGTTGGCCTCCAACTTCCACGTCAACCTGCATGGACTAAATCTGTTCCTGGAAAAATCAACAGATTGCAGGCCAGCCGAATCTAATATGCAGACAAAAGGTAAATAAAACGCGTTACTGGGAAGCCGATCGAATTAAACTAGAATGCTTCTCCTGGACTGGGCCATGGCCAATAAGGCAATATTTAACCATGGATTTTAATAATTAATCAGTTGGAACTCCTTTCTATATAAACCGGATAATGGATATGGAACTGCTCCACCAAAAACACACTAGCATCGCTAATTACTCCAATACCTTCATACCCTTTTCAGTGCCTCTTCCTTTACTTAGTTCTTCGTCCCTCATCATTGTTACTACAGTTTGCAATGGCACACCAGCTTGCTTTCCTCGCCTGCTTGGTAGCTCTCGCTGCTTGTGCAGGTCCCACATTGGCCGGAGAACCTGCCAACCTTCAGGATTTCTGCTTGGCAAGTCCTAACGCCAATGTAAGGATGAATGGATTGGCATGTAAGGATCCTACGACAGTTCGGGCGAGCGATTTTGCATTTAGCGAGCTCCACATTCAGGGAATACCGCGAATGTGGTGGGGTCACCCCGGTTTCCGTGACCCAAATTCTGGGGCTTAACACGCTCGGAATCTCGATGGTGCGGATCGACTATGCTCCGTGGGGTATCAACTCTCTCCACACTCACCCTCGTGCCACCGAGATCCTGACCGTGATCAAAGGCACTCTTGAAGTTGGGTTCATCATGTCAAACCCTGAGAACCGACACATTACCAAGGTGCTTAAGAAGGGAGATATGTTTGTTTTCCCGATCGGGTTGATACACTGCCAACGCAATGTTGGGCATGGAAATGCTGTGGCAATCGGCAGATTGAGCAGCCAGAATCCCGGAGTCATCACTATTGCCAATGCCGCTTTTGGATCCAAGCCCGACATTTCTGACGACCTCCTTGCCAAGGCATTCCAAGTAGTCAAGCGAGTTGTGGGCCGACTTCAAGCTAAGTTCTAGGTCTCTTAAGGAGTATTGACACCAAGTGACCATATCGGATGTACTTGAATTAAACGCCATTATCTCATGGTATTCATATTTTAATTTTTTTTTGGCTCCAAAGCTTATCAGATTGTTTGATGTTCCTGTTTAATCAATTAATGTTTGTTCAATTGTTCTAAATTATTAAACTACTTTTTCGGATTATTGCTCTAAATTACTGATCTGTTGAATTGATTGGTTGTTTAAATCGCTTGGAAAGGGATGTCGCACAGTGCTGGTAGAAACCGATTCACAACTTGCTACTGAACTTGCCCGCAATCGAATCTATCTGGTATACCCCTATTTGACTCTTCCCTCTATAATTTTTCAAAAGCTAACTTAAGATCGGTTGCACAACGATAAAAGATTTTCGACGATGAACAGTACTCTCCGTCGGCAAATTGAATCACTTTGGGACGATGTCGCACAGTATTGTAAACGTCACAAAAATTTACCAATTTTTACAAGCCGAAGGTAAATGTAAGTAACTATCGGTAAGCCCGAAAATTTTATCAATCCAAAGTGACCGATTTTAAATAAAATGCAACCGACGCTAAATGATTTTGATAGAGTATTCAACAGTTGATTGACTTATACTAACACTACTTTTAGTTATGCTTTTTAATTAAAATAATTCTATAAAATTATCCATTTGTACTACCAAAAAAAAATTCTTATACCATCTATGATTAATCTGCATAATTAAGAGCCCCCTGCCACATTAGATTCAAAATATGTCTAAGAATTCTTAAACCATTCATAGAATTTCATAAAATCAAAATAATATGTTCTTAAACCAGCTTGTTCTTGCTATTGCTGAGTGTCACTACCCAGAAAACTGACATTTTGGCTCCAATAAAAATAAACCATTCGTATCATGACGGATATAATGCAAAAGTGGGGATCTATGGACTATGAAGATTGATGCTTCAAGTTCATGGGCATGGAGACGTATCTTGAAGTTAAGGGTTGCTGTTCACTCATACATGGGTTTGCAGGGGACTATGGGCATGTGGAATGGGCAATATATGCATTTGTATTCTGTTAGTCATGTCTATGATACATTTCATCCTCATGGCAGTAATAAGGTATGGCATCATCTGATATGAGGTAAGTTCTCTGTACCACGTTGGAGTGTAATAGCTTGGATCATGGTCATGAATGCTATGGTTACTAATGTTAAGCTGGTCAAATGGGGGAGAGGGAGTGATGATGGATGTGTTCTATGTGGACAGAGTAGTGAGACGAGAGACCATTTGTTCTTTGAATGTAGTTTCTCGCAGAGGATGATGAGTGGCATTGATCTGGGTTTAAGAAGTAGCACGTGGGACTCTAGGCTCTTAGAGGTGTGTATTATTGTGAGAAAACACACACCTCTGGGTAGGCTGTATTGTTTGATTTGGACTTCTTTGATCACCTTCATCTGGAAGGAGCGGTGTCGAAGGAGTCATGGGAAAAGTCCACGAGAAGCTTATGTAGTTGCAGAACTTTGAAAAAGCGATTTATATATAGTTTGTAATTAGTGGTTTCCCGTTGCTGATGCATGATTGCCAGCAGGCGGGTCTTCCATTTATTGCATTATAAAGAGTAGTCCATGGTAGTACAGTGGGTGGGTGGGTTTTACTTTGGGTTGTTTTTCTGTTTCATGAGTAGTTCCATACTGGGATTTGCCCCTTGTTGTAATCAATTTTGGTGAGACTAATTGGTCTCACTGTTTCGTTTGAATGAAAAGGAAACTGATTCAACGAAAAAAAAGATATAGATCCCAAACTAACACTTGAAATACAATTAGAATTATTAAACCATAAGTTGTACAAAATTACCATAATATAGAAGTTATTGTTCCTTACGATAAAATCGTGATGTTTTGTTCACGAATGATGTTATAATCCCCTGCTGATGGTTTAAGGTGAATAAAACGCACCCATCCGTTCCGTTTACCCCTTTTCCTTTTCCATTATATATTATATTTCCCTTTTTATCATTTACGGAGACTTCCTCTTCTTGCAACCCATCCAATTTTCCCCCTCAGTGGATCCCCTGGCGGCTAGCCAAGCTGAGATCGGAGTTGGATAGTCGTGGTCGCTGCGAAGCCTGGATTTGATTGTGCTGGATAGCAGGCGAACTGAACAGAGTTGGATAGCCATGATCGCTGGCTAATTTGGGGCTGACAAAGCTGGGACCGAACTCGAATCGCTGATAATCCCCTCCCCTGTGGAGCGATCAACGGCTAGCGATGCTTCTATATCCGGGATAAGCTACATGCATCCTCTCTTTTTTTCGACGCAATAGACCGCTTTTCCCGTAGGGGTTGGTTACTTTGTTTTTAGAGCATCTTCATCAATACAATTGCAAAAGAAATTGCATTTGTGTTTCTTATTGTCAACTCAAATTTTTTGCAATCCACATCACATTCATTTCATTCGCCTACATCAATGCAATTAACTTGCCATTGCATATGTAATTAAATATTATGTTTAAATTATAGATAATTAAGTAAAAGAGAAAAGAAAATAATATAAAATAAAAAAACTCCATTTTTTAAGGTTTTTTTTTACTTGCATATGGAATTGCATTTGTTGCAAGCTTGCAAATATGCAATTGGTAGCCACATTAATGCAATTGGTTTTGCAATTGCAAACACCTATGCCATATCATTTTGCAATTGAGAATGTAATACCAATGTGTATGCTCTTATCCGTTCTAGCCTTTTTCTCTTTCCCCACTTCCCTTCGGAGGCAGATGTCGGTGTCTCTTTTCTTTGACGCTTCCTGAATCCAATTGGCGGCTAGATAAGCCTCTTCCCTTCCAATCCATTCCGAACAATATCTTTTCATCTCTGCAACTATTCCTATCTTCTTCATTGAGCATCTAGAGCCGATGGATTGCCAACGGACGGTTTGCCTCCATCAGCGCGACAGTCAACGTTTCTTCGCCAATGTAGAATTTGATAATGCGGAATTGACACAACAAGAACACGAGACAAGGGGTTTTACGTGGTATCCTCGATCGATTGATTGATCGAGACTAATCCACGGTGAGCTCATAAGAGCTCACGGCTGATCTCTTATTAGGATTACATCTTGACGACTTACTATCACACAAGTCAATAGCTAAGCTTATATAGATAAACTTAGGGTTAAAACCCTAATCCAACGAATCAGACGAGGCCCAACAAGGCCCAATACTAACACAGTTTAAGTAACCGCAACACTCCCCCTCAAGCGAAGACATGAATAACAAGAATGTCGAGCTTGAAGAAGTTAATGTGAAGAACAAGTATGATGGCTTGAACCACAAAACTCGAGATGAATAACATCTCGGACGAGGTTGATTGGAGACGACTGACTCTCTCTGAACAACCTGATGATGGAGACGATTGACTTCGTCTCTTGAACTTGAACACACTTGGTACATCGCGGTCGACTTGATGACTGAGATAGTCGACCGACGTATGTTGACCTCCTATTCTCCCCCTCAAGCCGGAGCATGAACATAGTGAATGCCCGACTTGAAAAGTTATGAATGGTTGATATGTGCCCAATTAATGAACCGGAAGAGGGGACGACCATTTCTTGGATCGTGAATGCTAAATGGACGATGAAGGGACGATGAATTCTCTGATTGTACTACCTTTTGAACGCCAGGGGACGACCATTTTATGGATCGTGAATGCCTCGACCTGATTACTTGAAAATTTTGTTGACAGAAGCTGTTCTTTCTCCCCAACACTAGTTATTGAAGGAGAGACAACTGCAGGTCACAATTAACTTCAATCCCATGACTATGATGTTGGTGAAGAGAAAAACTTCTACTCAACCCTTGATAAAGAAAAATCATCCACAATGACAACGTGATTTCTTGACAAATGTATCTGACTACTCGGCAACAAAGAACACCAAACTTCATCCTTCGCAAGGCTGATATGGTTGGGTGTAATTGACTTGTGGCCACCGGCCTAACTTCAAGATGCAAACTGAATTACGGAACTCCACCCAATGATGAGGTAGAAACCGAAAAAACCTTTGGATATGCTTCTGAATGCATCTGCTGGTGGACTACATATGCTTGCTGAACTTGGAATAAAAACAAACACACAACCGGAAGCATTGAAGTGCTGGTGGAAGCTTTGAACCAAACCTTATGGGTAGAAATATGAAGTAGCGCGGCTTTCACGCTACAACCATGATGACCCCCTAGGAGACCTCAAAACTCAATGAACCCTCTGGTGGGTGATGCAAGAGATGGGGACACAGCAGGGATGGAGCTGAACGATGGAATATGTTGCGATAATGGAACCAATTGATGAATAGGTCACAAAATCAAACTAACTCCACGCTGCCAAAATGTTTCCTAAAACTAATCCTTCTGCAAAGACCAACACAACCACAAAACCCCATGACCAACTGTGAGTGCTTGATGAAGACCACCCTGCTGCAACGATAACAAAAGAACGCCATCATTGTTGACCAAATGGACTCCCACCAACCGATCTCCAATCATAATTAACCAAACAACAACAAAGAGCAAAGGAGCATATATGAGTTTATTATTCCTTGCAACGTGGTCGTAGGACAAGACTCGGCCACGACGATGGGAATACCGAAATTGGAGTCGGCGACGGATGAAAGCAAAAGTGCTCTCATGCTAACTAGAGACTAACATAGGCATGACAGAGACCCAGAATAATGGCGACCTGGAGACGGACAAGCCGATGACACTATCATCGCTGCTGACAAAGACAATGACCAACTGGCGAGGGCGCTGATGCTAGGCGACTGTTATAAACGCGCTGCTACGGATCGGGAAATCGCCGGAATCGACAAAGCAAGAATACGAAAGCGAGAATCGAAAAACACAGACACACGATTTACGTGGTTCACTAACACGATGTGTGTTAGCTAGTCCACGGGCGAGAGAGAGCCAGTTTCACTATATCGAGGAGATTACAGATTACAAAGGAGTATGAGAAGTATTTA